TTCGAGGGTGAGTATTTCAGTCCTTGCCTCGGGTGGCTTGGAGGATATTGACGTGATATGCGATCCCGAACCGAGGAGACTTTGAAACGAGCGGGTTCGGGTACCCTTGTTGACAGAGCTCGGGTATCCGAGGAGAAATGGCTCGGGTACCTGAAGAGGACCGGCTCGGGTACATGAACGGAAACAGCTCGGGCATCCGAAGAAAGATGGATCGGGTCTCCGAGGAGGATCGGCTCAGGTACCAGAGAGCTTGCTGTCAGACCCCGAGGTGGACCTTGGGTGTTTCCTGAGGTGGATGATGCGATGCCCCGAGGTGATCTAAGAAGAGTTCCCCGAGGTACTCTAAGTCTGGCTCGGCGCCAAAGGATGGAATCCGACCCCAACAATCATCGAGATAAGTATTCATAATTATATACTTATAGCACCATGCTTTTGTTATAACATGGGATAAATAATTCATAAATATAGAATTCATGCTATATTTAATCGATTTCTTAATTCCATTATATTCATCATGTCTCGTCAATTTCTAGTTCATAGATTATTGTTAGTTTGCTTATTGTCTGTTTGTAAACATGATTTTATTATATAAACTGACGCTTATTATATAAACTGACGCAAGCTTATTATTTGTACGCTGTGCATATATTTCTTTGCTCACCAAGAACATGCTTTAATTAATTATTCGTGGTGCTAATCCAATTATAGCAAAGAGATTCGTTTGTTATCACTTATTACTTTATTGTTTATGTTATCGTATCATAAACATGGTCTGATTATGATTTATCGCTTCAGTTGCTTTATTCGATGTTTGTTATTAACAAATTTATATGGTGGATATTTACTATCCATTATTTTATTATTTGGTTTACCTAGTACGATAGTTTGAGTTTGTTTGGTAAGCGGAGATCCATATGATATTTGTTTCATTATCATGATCTATTATAGTGTTTCATTGTTTTGGTATTCTCTTAATTCATGACATGAATAATTTATATTTTATAATTTTTGGTTTCAAAAGAAAATTTACTTAATGGATTAGTTTTATTATTTATTTGATATATGTGATTGCTAATAATTATTTTGTAAAAATCTAGATGAAGCTAATAGAAGCACAATATTCAGACTGAGAAAACATATACTACAGGCGAGACCGTCTCATATTTCTCAGACTGAGTAAACTGGAGAACACCGAATTTGTAAATTGAATAACTCCTTCGTTTGATCTCCGTTTGCTTTGATTCTTCTTCGAGGAGTTAGATAATTGAGCTGAGCACATATCAGGATGCTTCCCATTATCATATCATACTCTCCCTCTTGATAATGGGAAGCATCAGGATATGTGTTCAGTTTTTGAAGCGTATCTTCCGAATGACAAGGAATCAAAGCACGAAACCACTTGGGGAATGTGCTCAGCTCAATTACGGAACTCCTCGAAGAAGAATCAAAGCAAACGGAGATCAAACAAAGGAGTTATTGAATTTACAAATCATGTGTTCTCCAGTTTACCAGATGCGGACCTGCACGCATTCAATGAAGAATTCCGACCAGACCAGAATGAACTAAGCTACAAACTGAGTTGTTCTACAATCTTGGTCCATTAGAGAAGCCCAGAAAATTGGATTCAGCCCAAAAATAATCAAGGAAGATCAATTTCCGTCCATAGCAAAGACTGCATTTAATTTTGTCGATTTCTCTCTCTTACATGCACTTTAGAGTTTGAATTTCATCTCCCTAGATGCTTTGCATGTTAAGAAACTATTATGGACGAATTTGTTGTAATTCCTCTATATAATGAGGTTCATCTCATGAATAAAGAATAAGCCTTTTTGATATTTTTGGAATCCTTTGAGAGTGAGTTTTCATTTTTCGTCAATGGTGTATAATATCCATTGGTTTGGTTAATGGTGTGTCTATTGATCAATACATGATCCGTCTTGGTGCGTCATATCCAGGGGGTCTTGTCGAGAGTGATTCTCATTTTCAGCCTTGAATTCGTCTTAGTGTGTCATATCTAAGGAATTCAAGTTCGGTAAATCAAGAGTCTTCCGCGGCTCGTGTGTGACCATTCGCTCCACCATCCTTGTTCTTCGTGGCTTCACCGTCCGTTGAACCTAAGGAATATCTTTTCACCGCCTTAGAGTGCCGACTCCTTGGGAGATTCTCATCATTTGGTATTAGAACACTACTCTAAGCTCGGTCTATCATTCTATCATTCTATCATTCTCACCTTCTCATCTTTCATTTTCCTTCATATCATCTTCTCATCTTTCATTTTCTTTCACATTATCTTCTGTTCTTTATCTTCTTTTCTTCTATTTTATTTCATCTATTTATTTTCATCAAAGAAAAACAAAAAATAAAATTCAAAAAGAAGATAATCCGGATTTGAGGACAAATCCTTTTTCAAGAGGGAGAGTATGATATGATAATGGGAAGCATCAGGATATGTGTTCAATTTTTGAAGCGTATCTTTCGAATGACAAGGAATCAAAGCACGAAACCACTTGGAAAATGTGCTCAGCTCAATTAGGGAACTCCTCGAAGAAGAATCAAACCAAACGGAGATCAAACGAAGGAGTTATTGAATTTACAAATCATGTGTTCTCCAGTTTACCAGATGCGGACCTGCGCGCATTCAATGAAGAATTCCGAACAGACCAGAATGAACTAAGCTACAAACTGAGTTGTTCTACAATCTTGGTCCATTAGAGATGCCCAGAAAATTGGATTCATCCCAAAAATAATCAAGGAAGATCAATTTTCGTCCATAGCAAAGACTGCATTTAATTCTGTCGATTTCTCTCTCTTACATGCACTTTAGAGTTTGAATTTCATCTCCCTAGATGCTTTGCATGTTAAGAAACTATTATGGACGAATTTGTTGTAATTCCTCTATATAATGAGGTTCATCTCATGAATAAAGAATAAGCCTTTTTGATATTTTTGGAATCCTTTGAGAGTGAGTTTTCACTTTTTGTCAATGGTGTGTAATATCCATTATATTGGTTTCGTTAATGGTGTGTCTATTGATCAATACATGATCCGTCATGGTGCGTCATATCCAGGGGGTCTTGTCGAGAGTGATTCTCATTTTCAACCTTGAATTCGTCTTAGTGTGTCATATCTAAAGAATTCAAGTTTGGTAAATCAAAAGTCTTCCGCAGCTCTTGTGTGACCATTCGCTCCACCATGCATCCTTGTTTTTCGTGGCTTCACCGTCCGTTGAACCTAAGGAATATCTTTCCGCCGCCTTAGTGTGCCGACTCCTTGGGAGATTCTCACCATTACTATATAAAGATTGGTTTAATGAATATAATTGTTTATAGTAAACTAGAAGTTTTACTGAAAATCTCCTTGTTTGGCATGACCGGTTAAGCCATTCCGGTTTTGTAGTGATGCGAAAGAATAATCAGAAATTTATAAATATTCATTGGAAAACCTGAAGATTTTTCCTAATGATTTCTTATGTGTGCTGCTTGTTCACAAAGCAAACCGATTATATGGCTTTCACCAACTCCATGAATATGGATAATGTCAATTTTCTGGTACGTATTCGAGGAGATATTGTGGACTGATCACCCACCATATATTCTTGTTATCAACTTGCAACCTGAAGTTTGCGAGGGTATTTGGTTAATTGATAATGGTCGTGAAACCATGTCTTAAGAAAATGACTATTACGTCAACTTATTCGCATTAGGCCAACAAGAAATAATGAGTTCTCCCTGTTACAATTGGTTTGAGTCAGAAACCAGATATTTCTCATCTAAATGTGATATATATAGAGTTGCTCCACCACAGTATTATAAGATAAGATTTGAAAGAATGTTGGAAATATATTGAATGAATCTCTCGTGATGATTGATTATATTGAACCATCAGTAAGAAATTTATTTAAGGCTCAAAATGGAGACTGTTATATCAGTGAGTCAGTATTTCCAACATTAAGGGGAGAAAAGAAACAGCTTGTAAAGAAATATTGGAATTAATTATCTTGATCCTCGTACTAAATAATATGCACAAGAAATTTATAAGATAATTCATTTGCAAAGTTTAGCAAATTATGCCAGAAGCATTTACTGACCTTAGGCGACAAAGTCACACCAGCTCTGCTCCAATTAAAAGTAATATCCTAGAAGGATAAGATCAACTGCTAGTAAGTCTAAAGATCGCCTGAAGCGTGACAGACTTATTGGTTCCAATGAAAAAGCATCCTCGGAAAACAAATTTAAAGGAGCAAAAAGTTAATATGGCACCGACACTACAGGAAATATGGGTATTGATGGCATTAAAAGATACCGTTTTTTAGGTTTATGCTATGTTTGACTGAAGCGCGATTTAAAGTTAGCGTTTCGTAAATTGTAAACGCTACAAATAATTTAAGCGGGATTATATGAAATTGACGCGGCCAATTTTCTGGTTCTGAAGTTTAATGTCCCGCTATTGAAAATGTTAAGAGGGAAAAATGTGAAATTTGGCTAAGGCAAAATAAAAGAAAAACTGAAAAATCACTTTACCATTTTTTCCCTAAAGCAAAAAAAAGATCAAAAACTTCTTCTCTCACTCGATTTCTTGAGAAATTGAGCTCAAATTCTGCAACTCTCACTCGATTTCTCTCGATCTCACTCGCTTTCTCAGTCTCGATCTCGATTTCTCACTGTGTCCACTTGATTTATCAGTCTCTAAACTCTATTTCTCACAATCTCTCTCTCGAATCTTCAATAGGTATGTTCTCATTCAATCGTAGCTTCTTTGTTCTTTGGAATGAAAAACCATTTTGATGGGGTTTCGATTATTGGGTTGTGTGAACATTGATGCGGAACTTTGTGATTTTGGGTATCGATTTTGATTTTGGGTTTTGATTCTTAGATTCAGTTAACATGCATGTCGAAGTTTGGCACATTTCTTGTTTCAATTTTGATTATCGGTTTCGATTATGATTTTTGGGTTTCGATTTTATGTTGATTGAAGCTGTTCTTCATTTATCAGTTTCAGAAATGGCGAAGACAAGAGGAGGAGGTCAAGTTGGTTCTCGTCGTAGTAGACGTAATCAAGGCTTGGAGGTAGAAGATGTTACACCACCAGTTGCTCCTGCAACAACACTAAAGGTGAATAAGAAGGTGAATAAGAAAAGAAAAGCAAAGAAAGTGGGTACGAGAAGTAGTACTAGAAGCAAGAAAGTGGCTGCTCAAGATGATGAGGTAGAAGATGTTACACCGCAAGATAATGTGGTTGAAGAACCGCAAGATGATGAGGTAGAAGATGTTACACCGCAAGATAATGTGGTTGAAGAACCGCAAGATGATTTGGTTGATAGTGTAACACCGGAAGTTGTGGAAGAAGAGAAGGGTAATGACAAAGAAGATGTAACACCGGAGGCTGATCAGACTGAGAATGCAATGTCTGAAGATGAGAAAGAAGATTTTGAGATAGAAGGAGAAGCTTGCTTGACTAGACAGGAACCGCAAGACGATGAAGAAGAAGCTGCCAATATGGAAGAAGATGGTGTTGACAATGGTCAAGATAATGGGATTCCTATCAATACTGATGAAGGAAGTCATGTACCAAAGGAAGGAGTGAAAGAAAGAAGAAAAAGAGGACCAACAAAGATGCGTACACTACAAGAATATTGGCTTTTTGTAGCGGCCAGAAAACGCTATTGATAGATACAATAGCGTTTTACCAAAAGCTATATCATCGCACGCTATAATAGCTCCGCCACTTTCGATAGCGGTTTTATGTCAAGCTATTATTGTATTATCTTTAATAGCGTTTCTCAAAAGTTATGAATTACTCTTTCATAGCGTTTTATTTACGCTGTTAATATATGTAATGACAGCGTTTTATAAATGTTATTGTGTTGTGTAATAATAGCGTTTTATTTACGCTTTCAAAGTTTAATGTAATGACAGCGTTTTATAAATGTTATTGTGTTGAATAATAATAGCGTTAGATATAAACGATTTTTCGTTATTATTGGTACACAATTTGATTATTGAAAACCTGTTTTTGAATATACTCCATAAAAATCCAAAACATAACATTAACACAACAAGTTTCTCTACTAAGGCCAAGCATCCAAACATCCACACACTAATGTTCTCTACTACCACAACATCATCACATAAAAAGAAGTTTATCACTAGGCCAAGCCACAAGACTACCTAATGCATCATCAATGGTCTGAATCTCTGAACTTGGTTTCCACACTTTCGCATTTCCTACTAGTGGCACGTCAACTGATACCTTGCTAGCATTGGGTCCCAATGGTTTAAGATGCACTGTGTCTGTAGGATTAGATGACCAAACTCTGCCTTCTGCAACCTTCTGTCCCGGTTTAGAGTAATCTATCAAGTAGCACTTCTTCTTCTGACCAGATTGAGTACTGCTGGTGTTGTTGCTGTTAGCACTCTACAAAAATCAATCACAATTGTACACAATATCCATCAGATTAAACAAATAAACATTAGAACATGAACAGTTCTAATATGAAACGAGTACCAAATCAGAGACCCAAGTTAAACTGTTTTTTGCAAGACAATGACTATTAAAAACAATGTAAAAGATTGTTTACCACATGTGATGATCTTATTGAAGGAGCAATTATCGGGTCTACTTTTTCTAGTGGCCAAACGATTCTCTCGTGAAGTGCATCACCAATCACCCGCAGATCAGTACTTGGTCTCCACAAACAAGCATTTTTCTCAATCACCATCTCAACCATCACAACTGCAGCATTGGGACCTATAGGAATATTGTTGACTATTTCTGTAGGATCTGTTGATACCATTCGACCCTCAGCAACAATTGTATCAACCAAATTCCAACCGTAGATGTAGATCTTATCCATTGATTCATTTACAGTCTACATAACCATGCATAAAAATATCGTATCAAACTCATTTATTGAAACACTGATACTAGGATTTTTACTATCAATTACCCTAATATACTTTCATGTCATTGCAATATAAGAGGTTATCAATCCAATCAGGTGCTCTTACTATCAATCAAGATATGCTCAGAGAATACTAAGTCAAGCCAAGCAGAATAGAGGTTTGTTATCTAGCAATCCTAAGCGAACATGCATAAAAACTATAAAACTACAGAACATGAATGAGCAAGTGCAGAGAATAGGTAAACAACAAGTAAGCAAGATTCAAGCAGTAAACTAAAGACCAGAAACTATCATGCAAAAGCTTTGGAAAAGAAACTAACAACCTAACAATGCAGAGAAACGCTCTAGGCCTAACAGGTCGAGTAGAACACAAAGACTAACAGAAACAAGATTTAAACAATCAATAGAGATAAAAGGTCCTGAGGAATGGGGTAATCTATTATGGCAGTCTCCTTAGTCTACCTAGGTGGTTAACAAACTCAATCAAGCTATCCCTAGACAATAGATTCGAATACAAATCAATCCACTCTCGTGACAGAGATTCTCAAGCTAAATCACTTTCATACTCAATTCTCATTGAATAAATATAACCTAGCAGGCATTATGATTCAATCTAATAAAGTCAATAAGCATTCTAAACATCCAATCTCTTGGGCTAGAGTATGCAAATCTCTGGAAAAGTTTGTTCAAACATTTCATCAAACACCTTGTGGGTGTGGAAATGTCTGAAATCAATTTCCAATTGATCAGAGAAGAAATAGCATTAAGATCTACTAAACCAGAAGGGAAATCAAGCAATTCTACACTTAACCACCTAAATATAATAAGGATTCCACACCTAATCTAACCCATCCTCAAGAACCCTAATCCACTACTCAAGAACACTGAAGAACATCATGCATAAAAACCCAGAAAACGTTTCAAACCCAGAAATCATTGAAAAGCAAGTATGTTATAGATAAGAGACAGATCTACAACTTTGATGAAGAAAAGAAATGCAAAAACTCAAAGGATCAACAGGAAAAACGATTACAAAAACTAGGGTTTATGAGAGAACAAAGGAATATCTGCTGGGTAAAAGGAATATCCGCTGGATAAAAGGGTGTACCCCTATTTATAGGAATACTAGGTTGCCCTAATTTGGCTACAAGACAAAATAAGAAGTCGGTGGGTGGTCCAACTCGACGTGACGTCGAGCCTGCGTGGTCGAGTCTGTGTCCAGACAGCTTCCTGACGTCCTACTCGACGTGTCGTCGAGTCCATGTGGTCGAGGGGGAGTGATTCTTCAAAGGGTGCTCCTTGATGGCCTCCTACTCGACCTCACGTCGAGTTGGTGTGGTCGAGTCTAACCCTTGGTGGTTTCTGAGCGCCTGCTCGACCTCCTGTCGAGTCCAACCAGTTTTCTGGATATGTCTCCATTAAAACCACCATAATTCTTGCATAAAAGCTCCGATTCACTTGAAATCACCTCCGTTGGAAAGGTAACTCAATTTTCTATAACTTGTATGAAGAGCTCTGAAGCTAAATCGCAATGAAAGACTTCCATCTGAGTCGATCTTTGAGGGACTTCAGACTGGCTCTGAATCATCAATTCTCTTCTTTGCATCCATTAAGTCCCAAATAAGCTCCAAATACCTGAAACACATCCAATATGCAATATGCTATGCCATGCAATGCAAATCGTACTAAGTGATGAAAATGATATGAAAAGGACTATGGATGCAATGAAAGAGAGATGAAACTTAGCTAAATGCACGAGAAAAGTGTGCTTAAAAGCGGTAAAATACAGAGACATCAACTCCCCCAAACATAGCTCTTGCTTGCCCTCAAGCAAACAAATAGAACTAAGCTGGAGAAGAGGTTTGAAAGTGGAGACTCAGAACCAAAACATGCATATAGAGTAAGTGAATTCAATGTCCAGGTTCCTAATTCTAGAGTGCAAGGTTGACTGATCTCTACTTAAAAACATTAGTCATCTCCTTCACATCTCAACCTAACTTCTGCCTTAATCAAATCAAGCATTCAAATCAGCACATTCCCTTTAACATTGATTAAGCAGGAACCGTGAATCATACTATGCAGTGGATATGAACACATTTGGCTTAAGGGTAAATGTTTAGAGACAAAGATGGTCCCTTAAAGATCTGGTTTAAATCGCAACAGGGGATCTCTCAAGAATGATTGAGCTTTAGTAGAATGCTAAAGGTGAGTATCAAGTTATGCATACAAGGATAAGACCCCATCTACCGAGAATGTAACCAATATAAACCCAAATGGAGGTCCTATTTCTAATCCCAGAATCATGAACTTAACTCTACCCTTTTGCACTCAAAGCATTTACAGACTTTTACTCACACCATTCCTTTCTTTTCTTTGCTTTTCTATCCTTGGAGAAGCTTTCTTATTTTGCTCTGTCTAGCGGATTAGGATACTTTAACAACTAGGGTTCCCTTTTCTTTCTTTTTATAACATAAGGCTTTTTACCCTTTCTCTTTAAGCTATTACAGAACCCTTTTCTTTCCTTTAGCATTCCCAAATCCTTTACTAGACTTTTCTTACTTTAGCTACTTCTCCTAAGAACTCTTTTCCCTTTTCTTTTCTTTTAAACACAACCCAAACCCAGAATTAAGCACCCACCTAGTCCTATCTAGTCCAGATAACGTGAACTAGAACTACATGAGATACTATCCTTGTCGTTACAGACCTAACACTTTCTACCAAGCTCAATTGAAATAAGGCCTCACAGTCACACACAAATGATAAATGGCTTGAAAGAAGGTTAAGGCTAAGGGTGGGGTATAACTGCTCCAAAGATGGGAGTCAGCTACTTGGACTAGCAAGAGTGATCAAAAGGTAAAAGAAAGTCCAAGTATTTTAAGGTATCCATGAGTTCATAGCACAATGCACAGCATGATAATTATAAGTCAAAATTCAAGTTCAAATTGATAGGGAATGGCATCAGATCAAAGCGAGCTTCGACTAAGAACAAGAAAATCAAGCGTTGAATTCAAAAGATGGTGCGGTCTTACTTCAAGTTCAATCGATTACGCATTAGAGAACTAACAACCTGGGCACTGAGTTCTACTTAGTGAATAAGCATATTTACAAGGTTATAATCATCATAATCTCCAATGCAAAAGCATGATGCAACAGCCCTAAGTGAAAGCATACCAAAACAATCCTAAAATGAACAGGCCAGCTATATGAACCCTCTGTTTTTATGAAATCATTTTCGAAAAATTTCAAATTTTTATGGTTTTTCTATGCCTTAGATGCAATGATGCAAAATTTGAAATAAGAAAACAAAACGCAATGTCAAATACTCCCTGAGCCCTCCCCCAAACTTAAATTACACAGTCCTCTGTGTAACAAGCATTTGGAAGAGAGTACTCAGGGCAAACCAACAGAGAAACAAAATGAAATGTGGTATATACAATGGTGAATTGGAGTTGTTACCTCATGGGTGGGTGAAGAAGGAGGTGATTAACCTGGTACTGGTGGGCTTCATGGGCTAACTCGACGTCTCATCGAGCAGGAACGTCGAGTAGGGCTTCGGTTTTGGTTTGGAGTGACACCAAGGGGCAAGCTCGACTTGTAGTCGAGTAGGGCACATCGAGTCTGCTCCTTCTCTATTCCTCTGACTCCAATTCGAATAATTCCTGAAAATCACAGACACTACAAAAACACATTAAAAATAACAAGAGATAAAGAGCTATTTACAAAGATAAACATGAGAATTCCTCCCAAGTGAGCTTGTTTAAAGTCTTTAAGCTTGACCGCTCCATAGCAAAATATTAGTCATAAGAATCAAAAGGTTGAGCCAATGAACCTTTTGTCCTTCTCCTATCAGTGTAAGAAAATACATCCGCCAAGTAACACAAAGTTGGGCATGGTAAAGAGATAAAATACACATCAAAGACAATTACAACAAGTGGAGCATATACTTTGAAATATTCTTTGATGGTTGGATGAGAATGAGAATCAAATGCATCTAATGGGAAAATAAAGTCAATTTCAGGTTTAAACGAAGTTTTAACAAAATAATCAACTTCATCCCCATTAATCTCATATAGCACAACATCTCCATCCATATAATCTACCTCGGTGTTCTCAGTCTCATGCAAAATCTTATCAATATCAAGCACAACTCCTAGGTAAGATTCTTCAAGAAGGGATCTAGACAATTCAGGCATTGAAAACTTAAACTCGAGATCATGAACATTCAAAGCACAATGATATGCAATATCAAAACATAATTCATGGTAATCCCTAGAAACGTTTTCTGCTCTTAAAATGTCTAGACGTTGAGACTCACATATCAAATCATAGCATTCATCGATGAGAAAGGGAGTATGCAAACTAGAAGTCATATCTTCAATGCAAGGCATATGGATATCTTCAAAATCATAAATTTCAAAGGTTGAATTGCATGTACCTTCTAGTTCACTTGGTGGAACCCAACATATTACCTTTTCAAGGGCATGAGCTTCTCTAATCTCATAGAATGTGAGTTCCCTTCCTTCAAGTGCTGCCCGCAATGATAAGAGGTTCAACTGAATCAAAGCCGCTAAGTCACTCCTCGTCAATGTTGGATTTTCCTTGTAAAGCTCATCCAACTTCACTTTTTGTTCCAATGTAAGAACATTCTCATCTAATTGTGGCTCCACATATTCCTCATCTTGAATGTTGTCTCCAAAGATGTCCTCCTCTTCTTCTGGCAAATCATTGTAATGCATGACAAAGACCTTAAACAGACAGACAGAGCAAAATCCAGCAAGTCATTAACCAAAGTAAAGTAGATAAGAACTTGATCTAAGCAAGTCTGAAATCTCAAATGTAACAAGCAGACACCCAAATGGCAACGGCGCCAAATTGATACTAGGATTTTTACTATCAATTACCCTAATATACTTTCATGTCATTGCAGTATAAGAGGTTATCAATCCAATCAGGTGCTCTTACTATCAATCAAGATATGCTCAGAGAATACTAAGTCAAGCCAAGCAGAATAGAGGTTTGTTATCTAGCAATCCTAAGCGAACATGCATAAAAACTATAAAAACTACAGAACATGAATGAGCAAGTGCAGAGAATAGGTAAACAACAAGTAAGCAAGATTCAAGCAGTAAACTAAAGACCAGAAACTATCATGCAAAAGCTTTGGAAAAGAAACTAACAACCTAACAATGCAGAGAAACGCTCTAGGCCTAACAAGTCGAGTAGAACACAAAGACTAACAGAAACAAGATTTAAACAATCAATAGAGATAAAAGGTCATGAGGAATGGGGTAATCGATTATGGCAGTCTCCTTAGTCTACCTAGGTGGTTAACAAACTCAATCAAGCTATCCCTAGACAATAGATTCGAATACAAATCAATCCACTCTCGTGACAGAGATTCTCAAGCTAAATCACTTTCATACTCAATTCTCATTGAAGAAATATAACCTAGCAGGCATTATGATTCAATCTAATAAAGTCAATAAGCATTCTAAACATCCAATCTCTTGGGCTAGAGTATGCAAATCTCTGGAAAAGTTTGTTCAGACATTTCATCAAACACCTTGTGGGTGTGGAAATGTCTGAAATCAATTTCCAATTGATCAGAGAAGAAATAGCATTAAGATCTACTAAACCAGAAGGGAAATCAAGCAATTCTACACTTAACCACCTAAATATACTAAG